GTAGGGAACAGATTACCAGTCAAATTCCCGCAAGTCAGCCAAGGGCCAGCTTTGCAGGCAGCCCTTTCTGTCTCCGAACCATGACGTTAACTCTTTTCCGCACAGAAACTTAAAGGTGGACTACACAGATGGTGTTTCCAGTCTTTTTACTTTCTTAAAAGTGATGCAGTATTTTGGGCAGTACAATAAGAAAGGATAATTATTTCTTTCACTATTATATCGTCTTCCTAGGTGATTCCGTCATTCTCCAATTTTATAATTTTAGTCTTTAATGTTTATTATCATAGTTGAGAATAATGGATGAATAATGATGAAATAAGATCTAGGATGATGAAATAGTGTGATTCTTCAAATTATAGTTAACAAACTCACCAAGATCACATAGTGTATGTCCAATGGACCTGTATTGTAATTGCAAGATAAATCGAATTTTATTCTATTAAACAAAAAGTAGATTTTCTTTTTTGTTCTTTGGAAGACCTGTAAGAGAGAATAAAAGTCATGAAACAGCAGTTTATACAAATAGTTATAATTGCTCAAAAAATAAACTCAAATACTAGAATTTGGTCCAGTGGACCGAGGCTAACGAAATGCTGCTGTTCAAAATATTGTTGGCACTAATATTTTGGAGGATGGTAAGCAGTATTAACTATTCAGTTTAGCAACAAGAGCAGGCATAAGTACAATCTAGAATATTCCATGTTCAACCTACACACTTTGATATGCTAATGCCCACTAACAAGGTTAGTAGTAATCAAATTAATACAGAGACTTTTACGTTGAGAACAGGCATTAATAAAGCTAGAATATGTTAACTTGCTGATAGTAGGGCAATTTAGAAAAGTCATTGAATTTTTTCACCTTTTTTTTTTTTTTAATGTGAAAGCTTTGCTAATCTGCTGGTGCCTGACTTACGTCCTCCCCTGTGTGACAGAGGATGTCACAAGCCTGCACCTGACATTAATTAATTAATTAATTTTTGCTGTGTTGGGTCTTCGTTTCTGTGCGAGGGCTTTCTCTAGTTGTGGCAAGCTGGGGCCACTCTTCATCGCGGTGTGTGGGCCTCTCACTATCGCAGCCTCTCTTGTTGCGGAGCACAGGCTCCAGACACACAGGCTCAGTGGTTGTGGCTCACGGGCCTAGTTGCTCCGCGGCATGTGGGATCCTCCCCACACCAGGGCTCGAACCCGTGTTCCCTGCATTAGCAGGCAGATTCTCAACCACTGCGCCACCAGGGAAGCCCCTTTTTTCACTTTTTTAGAAAGAAAACACGTACTTTTTACTCTGCCATTTCTTTTGTTTAGGGTCGAAAGTTTTCTTTCTTTCCTTTTTGGTGCTCCTCAAATCACAAGCAGGGATCCTGAGACGAGAAAAAATTGTAAGCATAGCCTGTTTGAGGAGAGTGGAAGAGGACTGATGGTTTAAGACCCCAGGACCTTTTTATCTCTGCATAGTTTCCTTTCTTTCCTTCTTGGTTACACGAATGACACACGCTCTTTCTGAATGTTTCTGGGCCCATGTAAGACCAAGAGTATGCTTTGACTTCACTGGAAAGTCTGAAGATTAGCACTGATTTTTTAAATACTGGAGGTAAAAGGGGGCTTTTGCTGGGGTAATTGCTTCCCCAAATCCAACGGCCATTTATGAACACTTATATCCTGACATTTGAAGTATTTTGAAAGTATAAAGTAGTATATAAATGAAAGGTAAGATTAAAAATATATATATTGCATGGCGAGATGCGAGGGGCCCATGGGTCTGACGAACAGCAGGAAGTGTGCACGTCAGCCAGCGGTCAGCTGTTTGTCTCCCTAGTCCCTGCGTTGGCATGATTTAAAAAGAAAAATCTTAATTAAAAAAGCAGAGCACAAAATAGTTATTTTGGCGTCATGGACCTTAACCTCCTTTCTGATCTTGGATTTGACAGTTTGTGTTTTTTTGCACTCTCTGCGTGATGTTATACCATGTATTATGGGGAGTAAAGGAAACATATGTGGTCCTTTCCTTTAAGAGATATACAGCCTAGCTGGAAAGTATGAAACACCTAACAAAGGTAGCACATAGGATGCCACGGCATCTTTTAGTAACTTTTACAGTGACTTTAAAAGTAACACTAAACTCAGCAGTTTGTGAGGGAGAGCAGAGACCTACATGGTAATTAGTACCCGCTGGTTCTTCAGGCCCAGCTCGAGGCCCATGGCCTCTGGGAATCCTCCCCCACCCTGCACTGGGCTCTCAAGGAACGTGGACAGTGTCTTGTTTTTGCCCATTTTATCCCCGTGCCTTGCACTGTACCTGCCACATAGACCCTCAACAGATACTTGTTAAATCACTGTGTTTGGGTTTCTGTTGGGCCTTTGTGTCCTTTGTCCCCCTTAGCTCGCTCTTCCTGCCTCACTGGATTCAGAGTTAGGGTTCTTGCCCCTAAGGGAATTCCTGCCTTATTCCAGTGAACAGGGGCCTTATTTTGCTTCATTAGGGCGTTTCTGTGGTTGATATTTGGGTATAGAAGACCACCTTGTCTCTGCAATAGAATCCCGTCTATCGTGGGCACACTTTTACTCTGTTCAGCTTCTCTGCGGTGTCCGCATCGCTGAGCACGCCTCCCCTTGAGACCTTCCGTCTGGGTCTCAGCACCAGTGTATTGGCCTTGAGCTCTCCTTCGCCCCTCTCATCGTTAAAAATTTTCCTTTTAACAGAGAACTTAACGTGAAGAAATTAAATTCTCCCTAGGTATAAACTAAGTATAAATTTGTGAACTGGGTTTCTGAAAACAGATAAAGGGACTCTCAAGTGTCAGAGATCCTACTACCCCTAAAGCGGGGAGCAAAGGGTAAGAGGTTGGAGTTGCCAGGATTCACGGGCTGCAGGAGGGGCTGCGTGAAGTGAAGTTCAGGCCTGGAGGGGACAGTACAGCTCAGCTGGGGCTGGGTCCCTACCCTCGAGGTCGGGTGCTAGTGTCTCAAGGGTGCAGGGACACTCGTTCTGCCAGAGCCCGTGCAGGATGAATTCAGCCGCTGCCGCGCGTGAAGAGTCGTGCCGAAGTGATGCTGTGGCAGGAACAGGAGGTGGACAGGAGGGTCCCTTCTTCCTCCATCCCTGAGTCAGCCGCGAGCACCTCCTGTCGCCCAGCCAGCGGGGAAAGCGGAAATGGGGAGCGCGGAAAGTGAATTGTCAGCCACAGCATCCCAGAGTGTAGCAGGCTGACCTTAACAAGTGGAACAGTCAGAGCGCAAAGGAGGCCAGGTACCAGGGTGCTGATAGTGTAAAATGCTGTGCTTTGACCGCTGTTGAACGCTGACATCAATATTAAATAGAAGCGGGCCTTACGTGCCAGCCAAAAGTGGAACAGGTTCAAGGGAGAAATCACGCATGAGAGAATTAAGGGCAATTCAGTGAATTTGTAAGTGCATACAAATCACAGAAATAGGGAGATGGCACAGTGTAAGCCTTCCACGAAGTTAGTAGTTGTAAATCGTAAAGTTAGGTTTTAAATGTATTTAATTTTGTTAACGCATTTTTTAAAGCAGTTTTAGGTTTACAGAAAAATTGGAAGCACAGAGAGTGCCCGTATGTGCCTGCGCTCCCACAGTCTTCCCTGTTACTAGCAGCTGGTGTTAGTGTGATACCTTTGTTTCAATTGATGAAGCAATATTGATAGGTTCTTACTGACTAAGTTTACATTAGCGCTCGCTCTGTGTTGTGGGTTCTGTGGATTTTGAGTTCGCGTTAACCCCTCTGGTCGCTGTTTAACCGTCTGATTTGATGGCTTCTGTCCCTTGTGTGAATGTAGGCATGCCCCAGGGAAATTTCCTTAGCGCTTTGCTTGGTGTAACCTGTCATTTCACATCGCTTTCCCAGTTTCCTTAACAGTAAGACGGGAGGCTGAACTAGAAGCTTCTGAGGTTCTGACCCCAAATTTGATGATTGGCTGTGTGTCAAATTCAGACTCATGACAGGCTTTTTCCAAACTCATTTCCTCTTTTCTCTGTCGAGTTTCCTAAATATTTTTAAAGCTATAAATGATCCTCTTGGATCATTTTCAGTCCAGACTGAAAATCTTGATTATACCATCTGGCTTCACTGAGATGTACATCCTCTGTGTCACCATGTCCTGAGGCTTTTACTTCTTGAATGTCCGTCAGGGTCCTCCTACTGTTCCCTCTGTGGGCCGTGCTCCCTGCAGCGAGGGCGGTGGTGTCCTTGAGACTCTGGAGAGAGGCTTAGGTGACGCCGTGCGGGACTGGCCCTCTGTGAGCAGGGGTCTGGCTTGCTCGTTCCTTTGGGGGAAGAAAGAGAGGACGTGATTCAGAGAGACTGATCCATCAGCGCAAAAAGAACAATCAGTTATTTCTTCTCTCCTTTTGTGCTGTCATGTTAAATGTTTTCTCAACGTGTGTTCCTTTTCAGCATCATGGGAGTTCTGAGTAACAAGTGTGGCTTTCAGCTCCAGTATCAGATGATTTTTTCTATATGGCTCCTGGCGTTCAGTCCTCAGATGTGTGAACACCTGCGACGCTACAACATCATTCCTGTTCTGTCCGACATCCTGCAAGAATCAGTCAAAGAGAAAGTGACAAGAATCATTCTTGCAGCATTCCGGGTATGTGTTGTGTGTGTGTGTGTGTGTGTGTGTGTATATGTGTGTGTGTGTGTGTGTAAGGCATTTTTTTTTTTTACTGTGGAGTGTATTTCAGGGCTTTTAGCAGGTAGGAAAAAGTTGCTTGTTCTCCATGTAGTTATGGAACTGTGGCATCTTGATGAGCTTGCAGTAAAATATCACAGTTTGTACTCATGGCAGGGGGAGTGGACAGGTAGGGGGAAGCCATCTAAATGGATGACGCATAAGAGTGGCTGGAAGATGGTAGACCTACAAATCCAAGCTATTGGCTTTAGAATTTGTGTTTTTAAACCATTGTTTGTTCTTACGCTTTCTTTAAACAAACAACGACAAATCAAAAATAAAAGGTTGTGCAGATGTATTGCAAAACCGTAAATGGCGTAGACACCACATTTGCCAAATATAGTTACTAACATCTTTCAGATTTTTCTAAGCAAATAGAGATTAATATATAAATAGGTGTCTAATTTTGTTTTGTATTTAAAAATAAGAGTGGTGTCATGTTATAAATACTGTTCTATAACTTTATTCTTAACAATATATAATAAATGTGTTTTCATTTTCCTGTAGTAGATCTTCAGTATTCTTTTCAGTGGCTATATTCTACTGTGTTGATGTAAAGTGGTTTATTTAATCAGTGTCCTGTTGATGGAAATGAGAGGTGTTTCCAGTTTCTTTTACATATGTTTTCCCACTTTGATGAGTATTTCAGTTGGGTAAGTTCCAGAGGTGGAATTGCTGAGTCAAAGAATATACTTTTTACCAGTTCTTATAGATAATGTCAAATCACCTTTCAAAAATGTGCAAATTGGGCTTCCTGGTGGCGCAGTGGTTGAGAGTCGGCAGGCGGACCACGGGTTCATGCCCCGGTCCAGGAAGATCCCACAAGTTGCGGAGCGGCTAGGCCTGTGAGCCATGGCCGCTGAGCCTGCGCGTCCGGAGCCTGTGCTCCGCAATGGGAGAGGCCACAACAGTGAGAGGCCCTCGTACCGGAAAAAAAAAAGTGCAAATTTATGTTTCCAGTAATTATATATTGGGCAAGAATACAGAGAGTCCCTACTTTCTCTTAGTGCGTGGACTTTTTTCTAAATTGGAAGCTGTTCATGAAGTTGGCGTGAAAACTCTTTAAAAAATAGATTTTCTTAATTGGTGAACTGTTTGGAAAGATAGTCATCCTTGATTCAATATCTTTGCAATTAGATTATCCTAGAAAGATGTTCTGGATTATTATTATTTTTTCACTTTGTATGACTTTCACTTCTGGGAAATAGAAAGATCAGCAGTTGCCTGAGTGATAAACATGGAAGTGAATCGTATTTTTTCAGCTTTTATCTACCTACCCTTTTCTGTATGTTAGTTACATACTTTTTACGTTAAAATATCTATCTTTCCAAATGTTGAAGATTGTAAACATTTAGCACAAAATTATTTCTTTTGATAATTTGTCAATAAGGTGAGTTGTTTAAGGTGAAATATAGGTGTGGGAAGAACTGCTGTAGGACTCAGGGTCTTATTTCAGCTGTTTTCTTGTTTCATAGGCTATATCTCTACACTTCTATCTTTCCCCCTCAGTTTTGATAAACTTACATGTTTTTTGTTGTTGTTGTTGCGGTACGCGGGCCTCTCACTGTTGTGGCCTCTCCCGTTGCGGAACACAGGCTCCGGCCGCGCAGGCTCAGCGGCCATGGCTCACGGGCCCAGCCGCTCTGCGGCATGTGGGATCTTCCCGGACTGGGGCATAAACCCGTGTCCCCTAGCATCAGCAGGCGGACTCTCAACCACTGCGCCACCAGGGAAGCCCCCTTACATGGTTTTTTATAAGTGTCATTTAGATAATATAGTGAGTGCTATGAGTTTTAGGAAGAAATCAGATACTAATAATTTATAGTAATGGATTGAGATTTAATCTAAAGCTCAGCATAAGCTGCTTTTGTTTTTGTTTTGTTTTTAAAATTTATTTATTTATTTATTTATGTAGTTTGGCTGCGTTGGGTCTTTGTTGCTGTGTGTGGGCTTTCTCTAGCTGTGGCCAGCGGGGGCTACTCTTCCTTGTGGCGTGTGGGCTTCTCATTGCGGTGGCTTCTCTTGTTGTGGAGCATGGGCTCAGTAGTTGTGGCTCACGGGCTCCTGAGCGCAGGCTCAGTAGTCGTGGCTCACGGGCTCAGTTGCTCCATGGCATGTGGGATCTTCCTGGACCAGGGCTCGAACCTGTGTCCCCTGCGTTGGCAGGCAGATGCTTAACCACTGCACCACCAGGGAAGTCTGTTTTTGTTTTGTTTTTTTGCGGTACGTGGGCCTCTCACTGTTGTGGCCTCTCCCGTTGTGGAGCCCAGGCTCCGGACACACAGGCTCATGGGCCCAGCCGCTCCGCGGCATGTGGGATCTTCCCAGGACCGGGGCATGAACCCGTATCGCCTGCATTGGCAGGCGGACTCTCAACCACTGCGCCACCAGGGAAGCCCT